TCCGCACCGTCGAGTCCGGTCCCTTCAGTCAAGACATTACCAGCGATTAGTTCTCCACAGACAACCACTTCTCGTGTTTCGCTCGATCCGCCAGTTTCACCACCGCTGAGCGATACAGCTGTACCAGCAACAGCTCCGGTTCCGATTGACAAGCCTTTTACAGCATCTCCTCAAAGGCTGGCACTCAATCTTCCGACTGGTCTTCCTTCTTCCGGTCTCTCCGTCAGCGATGTAGTCAGCGTTCCCTCTCCCGGATTCGGAAGCTCCACGCGCTTCTTCCGTCGACACCCACGTCTGCCAAGCGTGGAGACTGTACCTATTGCTCGCCTTTCTGTCGAACTCAACGGGACTATCACTCGTCTCGAAGATGAAGAGTGGGAAGAACTCGATTTGGAGGGTGTCGAGAGTGTACCGAATGGGCATAACGCTGCAGCACCGCTCAATGGGTTTTTCGCTCGTGGATTCGGTCAAGTTTTGCGACGCAGGCCGTCAACTCTGGGATCGTCAGGCCTTCGGAGAACAGTCAAGACTTCAGATTCCTCTCGAGATTCAAGTCCGACCAAATTGCGGCCTAATCCCAATCTATTTGGTGGAGGGAAAACAAAAAAGGCGATCGACAAGATCAAGGCATTTCCAAAACTTCGCAAGTTGTCCGAGTCCAAGGCGATACATGCTCAAACAGCACCGATTTCGCCTCCAAGCCCATCTCGACCAGAGGCAGCGCGGCGTCATACTGAGTCTGGGTGGTTTGAACGACGATCAAGATTACGAAAAAAGACGAGTGTTGCGGATTCTCTCAAGATCGTCAAGAGTGTGAGCATGAGTTTGAAAGGAGAGAAGAGGAGTGAAAGGCAAGAGACGACGGGTGGTTTGATCTCGTCAGCTAGCTTAGAAGCCAAGAAGGCCCCGAAAGTTGAATTGACAAAGACACCGCCGGTTGACTGGGCACTTGATGAGGGTTGGAAGCGAAAGAGTGAGGATTAATGGACTTTGCCGAAGCGGAAGAGTGAGGAATGATGGACATTACCGAAGCGAAGGAGTGAGCATTACCTGGACATTAGCGAGATCAGAATTAGGTAGTGGGGTCCGTTGTGAGCAGGCAAAGGGGTTTGGATTTGAAAATTGTTATTTTCTTGACTTCCTCTCGGGACCATGATTGTTAGAAGAGCTCTTGACGAAGGATACACATTACCTATACGACATGCAACGAAATTGACGAATTAAGTCCACACTGTCATTGATAAGCAAGAATAAGTAGGTTGTCGAGAAGATAGACGGTAGAAGACGCCAGGTACCGAACTCTTTGATTTCGCGATTATTTGTCAGTCACCGGATAGCATCTGTTTCAATCGCCGTTAGTAGATATATCTACTGTCTTCCTCTTTCATCTTTTAAGTTTTATCTCCTCTTTGACATTAAGGAGGACTTGAATATTTGATCAAAGTGCGACCTCTCACTCTATCGACGCGATTCGTTCTCGTCTCTAATCGAATACAAATACAGAAGACAACAACACCAATTCAGATTGCTAGATTATTCTCATCCACAACTAAACCTACTCCTAAACCTGGACCCGGAACTGGAACTGGACATATCCGGAATTTCAACTCGACTAGACAGTTCTCATCAAGTACTACAGTCAAGATGCCTCCTCTTGATAAACACAAGGCTGAAGAAATTGGGGAATAGTAAGTGTTCGATATCGGAGGGAGGGAAGGAAGGACGGAAGAATTGGATTAGTCAGCTGATACTTTGATAGTGATTATTTCGTGATTGGAGGTGGAAGTGGTGGTCTTGCTTCTGCTGTGAGCTCTTACGATACCTACATAGATAGTCGTGAAGGGTGCAAGGCTGATAGATACATGTGTAGAGAAGGGCAGCGCAGTATGGCGCAAAAGTCGGCTTGGTAGAAGCTACTCATCGATTGGGAGGTACTTGTGTTAATGTCGGGTAAGTCCACCTCGCTTTTCATGATATTATCGCTGATATATGCTAGATGTGTACCTAAGAGTGAGCTCTGCAGAGCACTGAGAATGACATGCTGACAGATCGTTTCCTTGCCTTTTAAAGAGATCATGTGGTAAGTTGCCCTCGACCCCTCTGTCCCGCTTATCCCCTTTACCCATGCTTTCCCCCTTCATTCTTCCCTTGTCACTTACTCTGACCTAGCTGACACACTAATACAGGTATACTGCCGATATTGCGGAAAACATCCGCAAGGCCGTATCCTACGGATTCGGCGATGAGAAGATTGCCGAGCAGATGACTGCCAAGTATGACTGGACTACGCTCAAGCATAAGCGAGATGCGTATATAAAGCGTCTAAATGGTATCTAGTAGGTTCTTCCTCTTCTTGTTCTGAGCTTGGGTGGCTGTGGAGATGCCAAAAGCTCCGACGGATCTGGAGATGTTGACCAATTGCCCAGCGAAAGGAACCTCGTAAATGACAAGGTCGACTATCATGAGGGCTTTGCCAGTTTTGTCGATGCCAACACCCTCGAAATCACTGGTCTCGACGGAGAGAAGTACAAGGTCAAGGCGAAGAACATCTGCGTGGCTGTCGGTGGACGTCCAACCAAGCCTTCCGAAGACACAATCCCAGGAGCAAATTACGGTATCGACTCGGATGGATTCTTCGACATCGAGGAGCAGCCCAAGACCGTCGTCGTTGTAGGCGCAGGATATATCGCCGTCGAGCTCGCTGGTGTGTTCAACACTCTCGGCACGGAGACCCATCTCGTGATTCGTCACGAAAAGGTGTTGCGCACATTTGATCCGCTCATTCAGGACACTTTGACTCCTTACATGGGTAAGTCACGAGGCCCTTTAGCGTCCAACCTGCTGACTGTGCGCAGAAAAGACCGGACTGAATGTTCATAAGACATCCAACGTAAAGAAAGTCGAAAAGACCGCATCGGGTCGGCTGTCGGTGCACATTGATTCACTAGACAAGCCGATCGAGGCCGACGTCCTCCTTTGGGCCATCGGTCGACACGCCAACACAGAGAAGATCGCCGCCGACAAGGCTGGCTTGAAGCTCGACGACAAAGGCCGCATCTCGGTCGATGACTACCAAAACACCAACGTGCCTCACATTTTCTCGATTGGCGATGTCACGGGCAAAGTCGAGCTCACCCCTGTCGCTATCGCAGCGGGTCGGCGATTGAGCAACCGTCTTTTTGGGCCAGATAAATTCAAGGACGACAAGCTATCATATGACAATATTCCAAGCGTCGTCTTTTCGTTAGTTGTCTCTCATATTCTGACATATCTGCGCTTACCATTCCAGCCACCCCACTATCGGTGCGATCGGCTTGACAGAACCTCAAGCTCGCGAGAAGTTCGGTGACAAGGTCACAATCTATAAGACTTCTGTGAGAGACGGGTTTTGGAGGCTGATAATACATGCTGACGATCCTCAGTTCAAGTCCATGTCGTTCGCTATGATGGAGGAGGAGCACAAGCAGCCCACGGCATACAAGCTTGTATGTGTTGGCGACGAAGAGAAGGTGGTTGGTGTGCACATCATCGGAGAGGGCAGTGACGAAATGCTTCAAGGCTGTACGTGTATTGGGCTTCTGGAAGATCCGGGTGTCGCTAATGGGCACATAGTCGGCGTGGCTGTCAAGATGGGTGCCACAAAGTCCGACTTTGATTCTTGTGTGGCTATTCGTGAGTTGTCATCTGTTGAGGTATAAGCGAGCGAGCCACTAACATCATTGCAGATCCGACCTCGGCGGAAGAGCTCGTCACTCTCCGATAGACAGAGTACATTTCATGCATACGTTGATCGTCATCTGTGGCATTGCGGGCAATCGGATTCCACCATAGTCATTATCGTTAGCATCATTACCAAGTTTACAACCTTATCATGCAATATACGAGTCGTGCAAAGTCAGGAACCGGAGACGCCTGAAAATCCTTGGGTGGGAATGTTGTTATTGTTAACGAGTTTGAGGTTCGTAGATGGCGGTGATGGTGGTGGTGGTGGTAATTGTGGGAAATGAGTAGATGAAGGAGGTTGTTGTCGATGGGTTGGGAGATAAGTGGATGAACATGTACCGAAAGATGGAGAAGGGGTGTATAGGTCAGGAGAAGTCGGACTAGGAGGTGAGACGGCGTGTCCAGGTGATGAAGGCGGATTATGAGTGGGCTGTGTCGGGTTATGGACTTGAGTGGCACAGGAAGAACAGAAGCGAGCATTGGGACCAAGTGATGTCCCAATATGACTACAGAACATGTCGGATTCACCTTCACGTCGCGTACTGGTATTACTTTTGCTCAGAAGGTCTTCACGAAGCAACAAGTACTGTAGTTGATTGATCCGAACGGTATACTCATTTTAAGCTTACTTGACTTGACGTTTCGCATCGCATCATACGAAAGAAGCTTCTATTCCGGATGATCAGGATCCGCTCGATATATTCGGCCATTGCGATTGATTTGCAGAACAGCAACATCGTCTCGCGGGATAGGATTCTGGCTATAAATCGCTAAGGACGTTTGACCTTGGAGCATGTGAAGTATTCCAAAGTCGCTAGATAGGTAGGCTTGATATTGTTCTGTAGCTTCCGATGGATTTTCGTACTCGAGGAGGCACAGAAACATCGTGCTTTGGCTTCTATGATGTGACAACTTGAGAGAGATACTCCGTAGTCAGAAGACATGTTGGCATATGTGTGCCCATGCCTTTATCTAGAGTGATCACATGGATTTTAGGTTGTACGCTGTCAGTACACTTGACAGGAGTATCACAACTCATCCCACTTCGTTCGGTCGTGCCCGACACTGAAGACGACACTAGCATCGCTTGATTACGCCTCTCTCATACAGGTCAAATGATGCCCATGGAGGGCTTCCTCGTACAAGGGCGCCCAACGAAAGAAGAAAAAAAAAAGAAGAAAAAAAGATGCATCCAGTCGGAATCGAACGCTCCAGCTGCTGAGATTAGATCATTATATATGAAGGGAGCCCCGAAACCAACCACAAGAGGAAATTATGCGGCGTTCTCCTAGTGGTCTATGGAGTCGCACTTAAGCGATTACGTAATCACTTAAATATGCGATGGACTCAAGTCCGCGTGAGTTCGAACCTCACACGCCGCATTATTCGTCAGTTTTATTTTCGTCCAGGTTGTTGCGCAGCGTCGCCTTCCTTTTGTCCACTGGCGACTCTGTTTAGTATTTGACCAGCTGGATAACTTCGTAGGAAAAGCACCAATGCCTGAACAAAAGAGCTCAATGGAAAGATGGGTTTAGCTGCGCAAAGGCCAAAAAAAAACGAAAAGGCGGGAATCTGCGACGATTCGAACCACCCTGAGCCTGACACCCATCGTGCACGGCAAAGAAATCAACCTGGTAATATGCGTCCACCTCCGCCGGCTAAATCCACTTCAGCTTCGTTCGTAACTCGATCTCAACTTCTCTGCCAGGCATGACGCAGACCATTCCATGCTCTCTGCGGAGCCTTCCTTCGCACTCTATCTTTTTATCCCCTTCCGGATCAGCAGAGGGGACTGACGATGAGTGGGAGCTGGTGGAGCCTCCCACCAGTTCCTTCGCTGGTCAGAAGGTGTCGAGGATGGTCATGCGAGACCGAGACCTAATCTTAGCAGTTGGAAGTGAAGTCAGGATCAGCTCTGTCGGGAATGGTGAAGCTTGGAGTATTGACGAAGCAAGGGTCGGATGGTACAAGGTGCGACTGGGTTTTCCTTGTTGCAATACAAAGCTCATCCAACAACATTAGACACTAAAGACTTCTCATCCAGCGTTTCCTATTCAACAACTTATCCTCAGCCCGTCTGGACGTCTTCTCGCTGTTATTGGTGTGCGTGAAATTGCTGTTATTGTTTTGCCGAACTTGGGACCAACGAGCACGAGCAGTGGAGAACTCAAATGCCGGTCAGTAGCGGATGTTGAGCTATGCCGTTTGCCGAAACTGACGATAATCAGATCATTCATGATCGATGGATATCTCTATTCATCGTCCTCGAAGACGGAGATCACCAAGGTGTCGTGGCATCCGTGGGGTGCGGGCGGAAACTCACTCTGGATCTTGACATCAGACGGAAAACTGCGGTGAGCCCTGCAAACATAACCTGGGATCGGGACCAAGCTGAGAGATTGTTCAGCGAGTATGATATACTGCAACCAGAAGATCCCGCACAGGAGTTCAGCTTTCTACCTGAGCACACCAGCTCCTCGTCCCGCTTCACTGCTGTCGACCCCTGGTCTCGCCACGCCACTTCCTTCGCATTTTCGACAGGAACATACGACTTCTCCCCATTGATGGTGTATGTGCTCATGGGCAATGGGGATGTCTACGGTATGGGACCAATCCTACCTCTTCATACCGAGATTCCACTGGGGTATCTGCAAGGCCTGAACGCTTACACTGAACTGCGGGCACGGCAGCTGAGCGGGGTGAGAGGTTTAGATGACCCTGAAGCGGCGGCCAAGCTGGGTCGCGCAGCATTGCAATCACAGTGGGTTGAGAGCCTCGTCAAGCAGGTGAAGCAAGAAGACGAGAATCGTCGGGCAAGGGAAGAAGGCTCCTCATCACCTTTGCGGCGCGGCAGTCTCTTGGGACATGGACGGTCTGGATCCACCTCGTCTATCGATGCGAGATCTCCACCGGCTGAGGGGACCGTCAGAATTCATCCTCCTCATCTCACTGAGAAAGGTGGACCTGCTCCGGGCGTACACCGACCAATGATCAGGCAAGGCCCTATCATGTTCACGCCTGGGCCTCGCGAGGACGAAGAGGACGAAGAGCAGGTCGCAAGCGACATCATTATCTTTGATGGCGAACGCCAGGACTATGATGGGACGGCAAGCGGGCATCATGTCTTTTTAGGTCTTGCTTGGTCCAGTGGGAGGGTCGATATAGGTGTCATGCTTGACCAAGTGGAACCGCGGTGGATCAGCTCTCGGGTCAGTCCTTCTTGCCCTGCAAAGCTCCTGTCTAATGTTATCAGGATGAATCGACATCTGTTCCCACCCTTCCGGTCATCGAGTCCATCATGCTGTCTTCTTCACATGACGACACTGACTCACTTTCCTCACCATCGCCGTACTTCATGGTCGATCCCGTCAATCCAGACACGGTCTTCGTGCAGCATCCCACTGGTGTCGCCTCGATAAGTATCTCACCGGTCCTCGAGGCGCTGAAATCTGGTCACCTCGCACCGTGCAAGTGTGGCGAGCTCGTCGAGTCGACTCTGTACGTATTGCGCCTTATTATTACGTCAATCTGACGATGATCTCACAGCTCCAATCCGATTGTCGGTTTTACAGTTTTGAGCAACATCACCTTAGGATATAGCCTTTTAGCTCTTTCAGGATCACACCAGCTCGCTGCCGTTGAATTAGAATACCGAGTAGCCGAGCTGTCGGACACCAATCCGGACGGGGACAAGCATTCAGCCAAACCTATAAGCGACAAGGAGACCCGCAGTTTGCTCTTGACATCGCCTTTGGATTATGGCAAGACTCTCTGTGAGCTGAGCGAGATCAACATCAAGCAGGTCGGTGGTATCACGCGGGCTCCATTACAATCAGTTTGTGTCGAGGTTTTGAAGACTTTTGGGACAATTCACAACCACTTGCAATCTTGCGTTCGCAGAGTCCTCGAGATTAGCGGCGTTATCGAACAACGTCTGGATCTAGAGATACAGGAGTATCAACGGCAAATTCGGGTGTTGAAGGAGTGTCAGGTGAAAATTGCTGGAATGAAAGAACCAGCGAGATTAGGCCGGGTGGAAGCGCTATTGGAAGAACAGGCGAGCTTGAGTGATAGATTGGATAGAGTCGTGACGGCTCTTGCGGGCGAATATAGGCCTCAACTAGGCGAAGTAGAGAAGAAGTGGTTTGAGGAGCTGGAGAGGCTGAAAATGAGAATACGAGGTGGAGCACTCTCGCGAGGGAAAGGGATGAGCGGCAAAGTACAACTGGTGAGTTGTTGATAACATTCGACGTGATGAGCTATGTTGAGAAGTTTGCAGTTGAAGGAGCAACTGGCTTCGCTCAAGCCTGATATTGAAAAGCAGAAGCAGCAGCCAAATGCAGCTTCAACTGCATCCAGTCTAGTTAAGGTGGATGAAGAGAAGCTGGGGGCAATGAAAGATCAAGTGACTGCAAAGTCTGAAGAGCTTGGAAAGCTCGCGAGGAAGCTTGAGGAGATGGAATTAAAGGTGGAAGAGGTCGAGCTGGATGTTGGGGACGAGTAGACTATGTACAGTCATGTGATGTTAATTATATGCATGCGTCATGTACGTCTCAAGATATCTGCCTGTCTCATCTGCCCTTGTCTGATATGTTAAATGCTGCAGGCTGGTCATGCAGATCACGTCTGAAAAGTCAAGGCTGTCTCTTTGATCAATACTCTGGCTTGTCTAGGGCCTGGCCATTCCACCTTGATGTCGCTCAACGCGCTCGTTTGCGGTAATGGTCCTTTGCAACTGTTAGTCAAGCATATGAAAGTCTCTTTTGACAGTGCTCACCTTCATCGGCTCGCAAAAATGCGATACGTTTGAATGGTTCTCCGGCCTTTGTACCCTGCCTAGGCGGACCTCCGACGTTGAAGAACCCACTGAGACTACTTCCAACTTTCCAGACTGTGACAGTACCTTCGGCTAGGGAGACAGTGACGAGTCTTCTGCCATCTGGGGAAAAATTCACGGACGATACGGCGGCTTTATGCGGCTCAAGAACGTATAGTCGAGAAGCGGTTTTCAGATCATACATGATCACTGCGCCTTCGTGGGTACCAACAGCCAGGCGCTGTGTGCCACTGTGGAAATCGATGGTGGAGAAACTAAGTGAGGGTATTGTTTGATTAGTTTCTTGACAACTGAAAATCGAAAGCGTGACTCACGCAAGGACTAGCTCGTTGAGAATCACCGTTGCCGCTTCCCAGACATCATCTCGCATTTTGCCAATGTTCGGATCCAGGCTCTTTACAACAGCCTCTGCGATCCTCGGCAGACCGTTCTCTAGGACTTCAGGTTTCTTGCGCGCCATAAAGACACAAAGCTTCATGATGGCTTTACGGCCTTCGGCCGATCGCGCATCCAGCACATCCATGGACAAAGTCGACATGAACAGGGCAGGGTTGCACGACGCAACATGCAGGACGGCAAGGCGAGCTTGTGCGGCAATGTTGGCTGAAGAGGGGGAGTTGCTGTCCTTGTGCGTAGCGAATTGGAACAAACGTCGAAGAAGGTCCATAGGATCAACAAATGTTTGCCAGGTCGCAAAGCCTTTGGAGCAGAGTTCGATCGCTAGACTCAAGTGGGGGCAAGCCGTGCTGGATAAATATGAGACGAGCGATTCAGCCACAGCCTTCAAAGCACTGTCGACCATCATCAGTATCTGCTAGAGCAAGACGTCCCTCAACTCGCCTAGGATTCATCGAGTGGAATTTGTGCAAGGCCATGCCCCCGACCATCGTCAGCGCTCGCGCTGCCTCCTCGGAATATCGGAGTTCCCCATCTTGCAGACTTGGCACTGCATGCGAGCGTCAGCCACACGACATTTCGAGGTTTTAGGATAAACTCACGTTGCGCTTGACTTGCGTGGATGACACTTTCAATCTCCTTTTCGCTCATCCGGTCAAGTCTAGACTCGAATAGCATCCTGGCAGCTTGATGCACGTCGTCTGCAACATTGCCCGTCAGCGGAATGGCTTCCGTCATTGTCTTTACCGATACGTACGAGAGCTGTCGAGGTAGTACGACGCGAAGAACTCTAGATCAGGCTCAATCGCATCTTCAGGCAGGGACGCTGTGTAGAAGGCAATGACCTCTGCGGCCCATCTTTCCAAGTCGGGAGAATCAAGAAATGGCCTCAGAAGAGATACGATAGCGAGCTGTCGTAGTCCAGTCGATAGTGCCGATATCTTCCATGCGCTCCGGCCATTTACGTAGTCCAGTGTAAGGGATCCGTTCCTGTATGAGGTAAATAGATGTAACAGCGAATAGCATGGTAGACTTACTCGTAATGCCCAAGTGCAATATTAAATGCTGGCTTGTGGATATCGAGTTTGAAAGTACAGGTCGAGTCAATACCCTCGTCCACGCCAAATGTCAAAACAATCGAGAGGAGAG